CTTATATTAGTTTAATAGGAATATTGATAAGTTATGGAACTATTAAAGATACTCTTCTCAGTAACAGCAGATAGTAAAGTTGCAGGAATAAAATATATTGCTGGTCAGGCTAAAGCTACATTTAAAGCTTTATTTGTGGAAGAACTAAGGTCAAGTCTCAATATTGTAATTTAGATATCTCTTAGATGACGTGTCACAAAGTTGATTTATAGCTGTAGCTCATGATCAAGTCATCCAGTGATTCCTCTTGAGTGAACTAAATCTGACTGAAGAATAGACCCTAGACAGTGAGACTGCTTGTAAAAGAAATGAATGAATACTTTCCATTATAAACTTTTGACATTAGTGTTAACAGAATTCAGTAAGTACATGACCTGAAATATCTATAGATGACTTAACCACTTAAGCAACAACTTAATTCAGACTCTGGAAGTATTGCCCACCACCCACCTTTGCTCACAGGATTCAGGTAATATAGATTTGAAAAATCACTCTGAACAAAGTATGGAGCTAAATATTCATTAGACTACATCTCAGGGATATGGAGATCCTAGTTGTTCAAATGGCAACAAAACTAGCAAAGTTGTATTGTTATAGAAAATCTACTGCATTTGTAGCAGGGCCCTCTATTATGTACTAATAACATGGAAATTAACTCTCCTTGTAGTGTGTTAAAAAAAGAAAACACTGGGAATAGAGGATTAAACAAAATTAAAAATATTATTTTGCTGCAGATCTTTTGAGAGTCTTTATATGCCAATATCTCTTAATAGAGCAGGAGATAAGATATGCAGAATTTCCCAGATATATTTGACTATTGTATTAAGATTAAGTTTAACTAGGAGTGACTGAAAAAATCTAAAATATAAGTGTCTTAGTGTCTTAAACGAGACAAAACTTTATTTTTTTCTTAAGTAAAATTCCACAGATACAGAGTCTGGAGCAACTTTGACTCTTTAGGGTATCATGGCTCAATCTTCCATTGTTAAGACCACCTCATGGGTCCATGTGGCTGCTCCAGCTCCAACCAATACATCCACAATCCATCCAGCAGGAAGGAGGAAATGAAAAGAGGAGAATCCCCTAACCTATCAAGGATACTTCCTAGATGTTGTAAAGTGACTTTTGATTATATCCTATTGACAGGAACTTAGTTCTGTGACCTTATCTACTTGAAAAACAGGGTTAAAAATGTAGTCTTTATTCTGTGTAGCCACGTGCCTGGTTAAAAGTTCTATTTTTGTGGGAGAGGAGGAGAGGACCATGAACAATCTTTGCCACAACCATGAAACTATTTTATGGAGCATGTCACAAAATAAAGTTGTGAAAGTGTTGGTTTAAATTAATTACTTTTTTTTTTTTTTTAAATTTTTTTTTTTAAAGATTTTATTTATTTATTCATGAGAGACAGAGAGAGAGAGAGAGAGAGGCAGAGGGAGAAGCAGGCTCCCAAGGAGTAGGGAGCCCGATGCGGGACTCGATCCCAGGACCCTGGGATCATGACCTGAGCCGAAGGCAGACGCTTAACCATCTGAGCCACCCAGGCGCCCCTAAATTAATTACTTTTTAAAAAGATTTTATTTATTTATTTGAGTGAGAGAGTGCAAGAGAGAGAGCACGAGATGGGGAGGGGAGCGGGAGAGGGAGAAGCAGATTCCCTCTTGAGCAGGAAGCCTGAGACTAGACGTGAAGCTCCATCCCAGGATCCTGGGATCATAAGCTGAAGGCAGACGCTTAACTGACTGAGTGACCCAGGCACCCCTATTACTTTTGACAGTATTTTCTCAACTGCTAAGGATCTATGTCCAAGGGAATTCATTGGAAGAGTCTGAGAACTAGGAATGGCAAACTGATTTACTAAGTCATTCAATTCTTACAGGAACCAGAAGCATAAAAGGAAGAATTAATGCTATTTCATTTGAATCTAGCCACTGCAATAATTTATTTGAAAATTTAATGTTTCTTAACTGCCAAGAAGTCATCTCTTTGAGATGTAATTGTCAAAAAAGACAGAAACCTTATTTCCCAGTTTCTGTGGGAAAGTAGGAGTTTACTTGAGTGGGAACCTTGCTCCAAATTACAAAATGACCTCTTGTCATAAAGATATGACAAGTCTGTTTTCCTTTGGATAGAGCCAATTAACTAACATAGATGGTCACCCCAATTACCAGATTTAAATTTAGGGTGAACTCTGTGTGACAAATAGTACTGTCAAGTCTTCTTATTTAAGAACTGATTAGTGTTTATCCTGACAACTTTTATGGAATGAATTGTATCTGCCTGGCTATATAAAAAGATGTGATTTTTTCTGCTTTTGCAATCTTTTAGTGGATTGCTTGAGATGCGCATCACATTCTGGTTTAACGCTCATTCAATATAGAACTTTTTTCCCCCTTCTATTTTTGTGGAGAATTTCTCTTGGTTGGCAGGAGATTTTTTTAAATTTATAGTTCCCCAACATTGTCCTCAAGCTCATTTACACCATATTACTTAGCATATTCTCTATTGCAAGTAACAGACTGCTGTAATTTGACATTGACCTAGAGCCTAACAAGCCCTTTCTTAGTTGGTGTGGCTAAGGCGAACATTCACTTAAAGGAAAAAGATTTTCTTCAAGAGATTTAGTCGACATTCCATGCTTCTAAATTCTTGAGGGTTGAGCTCTGTGTTCACCACAGACTCAGTGAGATTCTTATTATGTCTTTTGTGACGACAAAACCAGCTGCATTGCTGGATACAGGCTGTGGACCACAAAGATAAGAAGCCCCCATTAGCCTTTAGAGTATTTGTTGCCTTGGGGGCCATAACACAATAAACTGGGTGGCTTAAAACAACAAAAGTTATTGCCTCACAGTTGTGGAGTCTAGAAGTCTGAAATCAGTGTCAACAGGCCTGCATTCCCTTTGAAACCTGTAAGGGAATCCTCCTTTGCCTCCTCCTAGCTTCTGGTGGTTTGTAGGCAATCTTTTGTGTTGCAGCTACATAAGTCCAATCTCTGCCTTTGTTGTCACGTGGCATTCTCTCTCAGTCTTCATGGCCATGTTCTCATAAGGACATTAGCCCCTATGGGAGTAGGGTTCCACTCAATTCAAGTATGACCTCATGTAATTAGTTAATAATTACATCTACAACTATCCTATTTCCAAATAAGGTCACATTCTGAGGAATTGAGGGTCAGGACTTTAACATATCTTATTTGGGGGGGGACATAATGCACCCTGCAACACTTAGTAAGAGCCACCAAAACTTAAAGTTACCTTCCCCAACTCTGCCGAATGTCTCAATCTCCGTGTGTTAAGGATGCATGTGATAAAGTGCTCTCTGATATTTTACTCCTAATTTATGTTTCATATAATAAAGGGAAAAACTCTTCCTGTCCAAGTTCTGAAGTAATCAAAAAGTGACATAAAGGAGTTAGTTAGCATTTGGAGGTAAACTTTAAAATTTTTTTACCTGGTAAGTGCTGGGCTAGAGAACATGGCTTCTATTTATGTGCACGTGGGGGCTTCCTAACACTGGAGCCCAGGATTCAATGTACCCATCTGGGGCCAGGGCAGCCAGATCACAGAGACATCACTGATATATAGGGATGCACCTAAGTTTGACCTTAACCCTGGTTATTTTGACAGAAGGTACAAATGACAGATGCCTACTTTCAAATTATGGGCAGTCAAGATTGAACTTGTGGTAAAACTCTTCTTAGCAAATTCTGAAAAGATGGCAGTGGTGGAAGAGGTGTAGCTTTTAGATCTTCCCAAATTCCAGCAAAAAAAAGACAGTGAAATGAAAAAAAAAGTAATGGACAGCATTTACAAGAAAACTAGGTGACAGGGTACTCCAGGAACCCCAAAATGCAAACCAGCAAGAGCCAAAAGACCAAGGCATTATCAGCATCTGTTTAGGAGAAAGCATAGAGAAGCCATGGGATGACTGACAACCTGACAGTAGGAGACCCAAAATGGCCCCTCATGGGGAGGCACAGTGGCCAGTGAGAGCAATAGCAGAAATGAGAGGGCTCTGTCCCTAGATTAGCAGGTGAGGCAAGCGGCCCTGCAGTAAGCCAGCTGATGGCTTAGCAGCATCACCTTCCCACCTTCCAAAGGGCTCATACTCAGGTAAAATAGGAGGGGCTAAATCAAAATTGACTGGGAAGGAACAACATAGATGAAGGAAAGTGGGGTTGACAAATAGAGCAAAAAAACAAAACCAGACACAGCTCAGAAAAATCACCTTAAAAAATTAAAAAGAAAATTCAACACTGCACAGGAACACAGGAGTTGTTAAACAGCCTTCTGATAATCAGAAAAACGAAATTCACATAAAAATAAGTAACAGAAATGTGTCAAGGCCAAAACCCATACAAAGGTATTATGTGTTTTCAATAAAAAGTCCTATTTGAGAATTTTTCACATCTTGTGAGGATGAGTTAAATTACAGTTTTTGCCACCTTAAAATTTTATGAGAAAAGGAAAAAGTGCAAAATCTTGATAAATTACTTTTAATTTTGATATAACAAAGAATGTAAAGAGAAAGGAAAATAGGATATATTGTAAAAAATATTTAAAACATTTTCATTTCACTAATCATCTTTCAATTTGTGACTGCTAAAATTATTATATTAATTTTTAAAATTATTTTCAGATATATTCTTGACACCTACTTTTTTCTCTTACGGCAGTATTTGGGTTTGGCTTTGATTTCAGCCAAATACTGATTTTAATTCCTGGCTTATTAGCATTTGGAAAAAATATGTATCAGTGCATCTCAATCCTGTAAGGTTTTTGGCCTGGATGACAAAAAGAGAACATGGATTCTCAGTGGGTTGCTTACTCCCAAAAGATGAATGAGAGAAAGAGTTGGGCTGTGCATCCTCAACCTCTCTTTCTAGACTCATCGATCAGATTAAGTCCTTATCAATTATTTATTGCTGTTTAAAATCCACCTGAAAACTTAGCGCTTTTAAAACAACAACAATTTTATATGTTCACAATACCATGGGCTGTGCCTGCTTCAGCAACACATAACTAAAATCGGAACAACACGGAGAAGATTAGCAGGGCCGCTGTGCAAGGATGACATACAAATCAGGAAGAAATAGAAAATCTTAATAGACTAATAATAAGTAAGGAGATTGCATTGGTAATCAAAAACCTCCCAACACAGGAAAGCCCAGGAGCAGATAGCTTCACTGATAAGTTCTACCAAATATTAAAAGAATAATTAACAACAATCCTTTTCAAACTCTTCCAAAATAATTGAACGGGAAGGAACACTTTCATTCATCTTCATTTTATGAGGCCAGCATTACCCTAACACCAAAATCCAGATAAGTATACTACAAACAACAACAACAAAAGCAACAGCAACAACAAAACCCTATAGAATGATATTCCTAATGAATATAAATGCAAAAACTCTCAAAAAAATATTAGTGACCTGAATTCAACAACACATTAAGTGTTTTATTCCTGGGATACAAGAATGTTTCAACATACACAAATCAATAAATGTGACACAGTACATTAAATAGGATAAAAGATAAAAGCCATGTGATCATTTCGATAGATGCAGAAAAAGCATTTGACAACATACAACATCTTTTCATGATAAAAACCTTCAACAAATTGGATATAGATGAAACACATCTTAACATCATAAAAGCCATATGTGACAAACACACAGCTAACATTATACTCAATGGTGGAAGATTGAAAGCTTTTTCTCTAAGATCAGGAACAAGACCAGAGTTCCCACTCTTACCACTCCCATTTAAAAATAGTACTGGAAGTCCTTCCTCAAGTAATCAGGCAAGATATAGAAATAAAAGGCATCCAAATAGGAAAGGAAGGAGTAAAGTTTTTATTATTTGCAGATGATATAATCTTATGTGTAGGAAATACTAAAAACTCAACCAAAAACTACCAGAACTAATCAATGAATTCAATCAAGTTTCAGGATATAAAATCAACATACAGAAATCAATTGTGAATTGTGTAGGACTGTTGCATCACAGACCTGTACCTCTGAAACAAATAATACATTATATGTTAAAAAAAAAGAAGGGTGCCTGGGTGGCTCAGTTGGTTAAGCGACTGCCTTCGGCTCAGGTCATGATCTCAGGGTCCTGGGATCGAGTCCCGCATCGGGCTTCCTGCTCCTTGGGAGCCTGCTTCTCCCTCTGCCTCTCTCTCTCTGTCTCTGTCTCTCATGAATAAATAAATAAAATCTTTAAAAAAAAAAAAAAAAGATGGTAGGAAGGGAAAAATGAAGGGGGGGAAATCGGAGGGGGAGACGAACCATGAGAGACTATGGACTCTGAGAAACAAACTGAGGGTTCTAGAGGGGAGGGGGTGGGAGGATGGGTTAGTCTGGTGATGGGTATTAAAGAGGGCATGTATTGAATGGAGCAGTGGGTGTTATATGCATACACAAACAATGAATCATGGAACACTACATCAAAAACTAATGATGTAATGTATGGTGATTAACATAACATAATAAAATAAAATTTAAAAAAGACAAAAAAAGAAATCAATTGTGTTTTTATATGCTAATAACAAAATGTCTGAAAAAGAAATAAAGAAAACTATCCCATTCACAATAGCATCAAAAATAATAAAATACTTAGGAATAAATTTAACCAAGGAAGTGAAAGATTTATACAATGAAAACTACAAAACTTTGATGAAAGAAATTGAAGATGACACACATGGAAAGATCTTGTGTTTATGGATAAGTAGAATTAACATTGTTTTGGTATAACATGGTTTTGGGTAGTATAGACATTTTAATGTCTATACTAATTTTTTATTAGTTTATTTTTTATTTTTTTATTTTTTATTACTTTATTTTTTTATTACTTTAATTTATAGACATAAAATGTCTATACTACCCAAAACCATCTATAGATTCAATGCAATCCCTATCAAAATTCCAATGGCTTTTTTCACAGAAATAGGAAAAACAATCCTAAAATTTGTATGAAACCAGAATAGACTCAAAAAGCCAAAGAATCTTGAGAAAGAAGAATGAAGCTGGAGTCATCGCACTTCCTGAATTCAAACTATACTACAAAGCTGTAGTAATTAAAACAGCATGATATTGGCGTAAATATAGAAACATAGACTAATGGAACAAAATAGAGAGCCCAGAAATAAACTCCCACATCTACTGTTAACTAATAGTTGACTTGGAAGCCAGGAACACTCCATGGGGAAAGGATATTCCCCTCAACAAATGGTACTAAGAAAAATTGGATAATAACATGCAGAAAAATAAAATTAGATTCCTACTATCCACCACTCACAACAATTAACTTGAAAGAGATTAAAGACTTAAACATAAGACCTTATGCTTTAAAACTCCTAGAAGAAAACATTGGGAAGAAGCTCCTTGACATTGGTCTTGACAACAATTTTTTGGATATGGCACCAAAAGCAAAAATCAATAAGTAGGACTGCATCAAACTAAAAATCTTCTGCACAGCAAACAAACAAACAAAAAAACAATCAACAAGAGAAAAGTTAACCTTTGGAATAGGAGAAAATATTTGCAAATGATACATAGATAAGTGATTAATATCCAAAATATATAAAGAACTCATACAACTTAACAACAACAAAACCAAACAGACCAATTAAAAATGGGCAGAGAAATGAATAGACATTTTTCCAAAAAAGATATCCAAATGGCCAACACATACATGAAAAGATGCTCAACATTACTAGTCATCAGGGAAATGCAAATACAAATCACAATAAGGTGTCACATCACATCTGTGAAAATGGCTATCATCTAGGAGGCAAGAGATAACAAGTGTTGATGAGGAGAAAAGGAAGCCCTATGTACCATTTGTGGGAACATAAACTGGTGTAGCCACTATGTAAAACAGTGTGGAGTTTCCTAAAAAAACTAAAAATACAACTATCCTATAATCCATCAATCCCGGGCACCTGCGTGGCTCAGTCATTAAGCGTCTGCCTTCGGCTCAGGTCATGATCCCAGGGTCCTGGGATCGAGTCCTGCATCGAGCTCCCTGCTCAGCAGGAAGCCTGCCTCTCCCTCTCCCACTCCCCCTGCTTGTGTTCCCTCTCTTGCTGTGTCTCTCTCTGTCAAATAAATAAATAAAATCTTAAAAAAAAAATCCATCAATCCCACTTCTGGATATATACCCAAGAGAAATGAAAACAGCATATTGAAAAGATATCTGTACTCCCATGTTCAATGCAGCATTATTCACAATAGCCAAAATATGGAAGCAATCTAAGTGTCTGTCAATAGATGAATGGATAGAAAAGTTGTGGTATACATACACAATGGAATATTACTCAGCCATGGCAAAGAAGGAAATCCTGCCATTTGCAACAACATGGATGGACTTTGAGCTTAGTGAAATAAGCCACACAGAGAAAGAAAAACATTGTATGATACCACCCATATGTGGAATCTAAAAAAGCCAAACTCATAGAAACAGAGTAGAATGGTGGTTACCAGGGGCTGGTGGGTAGGGGAATTGGGGAGATGATGTTAAAGGACATAAACTTGCAGTTAGAAAATGAGTAAGTTCTGGAGATCTAATGCACAGCATAATAACTAGAGTCAACAATCCCATGTCATATGCCTCAAAATTGCTAAGGGAATCTTAAAATTTCCCACCACAAAAAAGAAGTGATAATTTTGTGACATTATAGACATATTAACTTAAGCTGTGGTGGTACTCATATTGCAATATATAAATGTATCAAATCATCACAGTATATGCCTTAAATTTACACAATGCTACCTGTAAATTACATCTCAATAAAAAAGTACCGTGGGACATCACTTTGCACCAGACCCAGTGGAAGGTCTTTCTGCTGGTCTTGCCTGGGTTACATGTGTAGCTGCAGTCATCGGCAGTTCGACTGGGGCTGGATGGTCTAAGGTGAGCTCTTGCACAGCTGATGGTTGGCTTTGGTTGTCAGGTGGGCCTCTCTCTCATGTGTTCTCTCTTTGTTAATGGGCTTCTTTATGCAGTGGCAGCATACAAGGGGCGAGAGCAGAAGGTGCAAGGCCACCCAAGAGGTTCAGAAGCTGTAACCCATCCCTTGCACTGCTCTCTACTGGTGAAAGCAAATCCTAAGAGCAGCTAAGATTGAAGGGGTGGAGAAATTAATTCCACCACTGGGTGTGAGAAGTGGCTGTCACATTGTAAAGCGTCTGGGGAGAGAGGAAATATTGAGACCACTTTTGAAACGATCTTCCCCAAAGTCCAACTCCTCTCCTGGGACGGCTGAGGAAAGGGGCCGAAGGAGGCCAGCTGTGAGATGGGGATTGATGAAGTAGTAGGAGTGAGAGAGAAGCTTCTCTTCTTCCCACTCACCCCACAAACTGGTGGTACTCTAACAGAAAAGATTCCTATCGACCTAGGAGTAGTGCTTTCAGACATTTGCAGAAAGTAACATTTAGCTCTAATAACATTATTCTCTGCTTATAACTGAATCTTTTAGTCTTTAAAATATAATCAGTACATATACTGAGTGGTGAGTCTTGACTTTTAGATTATATATATTTTTTGTTAAGCCTTGGCATTATTAAAGAAAAGTTTAAATGCATTTTTCTCTTGATGTAAAAAGAAAGTCAATGCATATACGGGGCAGTGAGCTGAGATTTCCATATTACAAAGTTTATTGTTAAATACTGGCAGAATTAAGGAAAGTTACAAACTCAGTCTTTCTTTTTAGGGCTTTACAAATTGGAGAGATTTTTCCATATTCAGATGGTTTAATTGATGACATCATACCAAGGGAGGGAGAAGATGGATATTTCTTTTCTTTTTTTAGAGAGAGAGAGAGAGCAAGAGTGTGAGGAGGGGGTGGGGCAGAGGGAGAAGGAGAGAGACACTCTCAAGCAGGCTCCACATCAGCACGGAACCCATTGTGGGGCCCAATCCCACGACCCTGAGATCATGACCTGAGCCGAAATCAAGAGTCGGATGCTGCCTAGACGTCCCAGAGATGGATATTTCTAACCATGATTCATTTTGCTTCTGTGACCACAGGGCCAACCAGTTTCTTATTAATAAGAAAGCCTGTTAACCTTCACCACCCCATGGATTTGGGTGCCGAT